TGACCGAAATTTATTGATCCAGATGGGTCGGAATGACGCACTGAATGACGGAAGACATGAGGATGATATGATTATATTTCCCCCTTTTTACTTCAGAAACATCGATGCTAGCTGCTTTAGTACACGTAATTATGACAGTTTCTTTTCTTTGTTTCCTGTTTTACCTGCATTTCTCTTATTTACTTCATATGAATGAATTCATGCATAATCTATTATTTCAGTGCGCTCATGCGTGAAAATAACTTTTATTTTAAAATTGCAAATGGCTGACATGCAGTATATGTGAATCAATCCTTCCCACACAGCTATCTAGGATGAGTTATGAAAAAGTCGGGAGAAGTCGCAGCAACACCAAGAGATTTATGAAAACGCCGTGAGATTCTGAAAATTTTGCCAAAATCCTGGGAGGCTACTACATGTATCACGGATTCCGAGAGACACGATGTGAATGGAAAGGTAAATACTATTTTATCTTGCAGCAACCAGGATTTTAATTTTTCACTCGTATCGATTACTAAAAAAATTCAAGGGCTTTACATTTTCTTAGATCAATGTGTAAAAAAAAAAAAAAAAAGTCAAGTCAATGACCAAGCTTGATTCACATTTAACGATTTATTGTGAAGCAAAAAAGGCTACATGTACAGAAAGCTTGCTACTCTTCCCGGGTTACCGCGACCGGGAAATTTTATTTCATGCATGTATGTCCAATGTTTTATTGACTTGAATTAAAAATACGCAAGAAAATAGTTATTTGTAATAAAGGCTTTCCTTACAAAATAAAAATACTATAGTATGAAATTTTGCAATTGCTTAATTTTTCCTCCAGTTTACTAGAATATGATTCCACTTTTAAAACCATATATATATCATCCTTACAATGTCAAGGTTTTGTGATTTCGGAACACCACACAGACCCTTCTTTTAACAGTTTTTATAACAAAGAATGGATTACTTTAGCCGAAGCGAAATAAATATCTTAAATTCCAGGAGTTTTGACGTGTCATACTAATTGCCTAAAAAGAGTAATTTCTAAAGAGCCGAAGACAGACTGCATCTATTTTAGATAGGAATATACAGAGATTTTTTAAAGATTTAAAATTTGTGGTTGACAATTTCATTAAGCTTCAATGTATTTGGCGTTTTACAAAATCTGGGGTGTAAAAAGATTCTTCCTAATGCTATACTCAATGTTTTGCATTCTAAAATGAAATGGAATTTGTCTGCTATTTTCCCTGAATTATATAATGCACATAGTCTATAATTCCACGGAATATTAGAAGGTTGCAAAACTACCAGATGTGGTTTGAAGACAACATAGTACTTTAGTAAAGAAATCAGTGTTGGGGAAATATGCAATTAAAGTGTCCAATTGAATTATCTTGCTCAGAAATTTTAAGAATGCTAGATTTGATTACAGATTTAATATACATAATATTTATTTATAAAGGAGATGGGAAACAAGGCGATCAAAATGTCCATAGTTCGACAATTTTCTTTGATATTTCATTAACGTATACTTTACGTAAAATCTCCACAATTTGCAAAAATCGCACAAAGATTGAAATTATTTGCCTATGAAATACATGTAGCATACACACCGTGACACTAAAGAGGACAAAAAAGACCATTTTCGTATACTATAACTCGATTTTTCGATATGAGTGGGACTTGCTCCATTTTTTTGAAAGTGTATATATATCATCAAAGTTTCAATAATTTTAATAATGAGAACTTTACTCTAAATACACAATTCACAATTGAATATGATTTTTATATATCTGAACCTAAAGGCATTCTGCACGCTTTGTTTACAGTCACATCATTATTTTTAACCGGATTTTCGTAGTAAAATGCGGTCACAGGGCAGGCACTTGGGGTATGGACCCCCCCCCCTTTTCATTTTCTTTTCTTTTTAAATCTGGGATCAAGTCACCTTTTCCCTATTTTTGAATTCTAATATGTACTATGTGTTATCGATAATATAACCCTTTTGTTTCTATAAGCTGTTTTTAAATATATCGTTTTCGACTGATACATAAAAAGAGAATTCTCTTTTTATGTATCAGTCGAACACGCATATTATAGTGCATATTAGAATACAAAAATAGGGAAAAGATGAATTGATCCCAGATTGAAAACAAAAAAAAAAATGAAAAAAAGGGGGGGGTCCATACCCCAAGTGCCTGTGAATGCGGTTAAATAGACGGCGTACGGGCGGCTGCCAAAAGGATATATCATTTGTCCGGATTACTCCTCTTACAGTAATCAAGAAAGGAACTTTTTTTTTATTTTGCAGATGAATGAAAATGTATCAGAAATGTGCATGGTACTTAGATATTAATTTTTGATTATTTATGAGAAAAATATATCAGTTGCCGATTTTAGTCATTTTTATGGCAAATTATTGCGTTTAGTGTACATCATGTGTCTGTATAACTCTTACAGTTTCCAAGGTGCAAGAAAAATACCAGTTGTTGAACTTAGTAATTTTTATGCAAAATATTGCATATACTCTATATACTCCTACAGTTTTCAAGATTGGAAGTTTTTATTTTGCAGATTAACTGTACATATATCAGAAATGTGGATGGTCTTGGAATTTGATTTTTGATTATATATATGAGAAAAATACCTTTTTTGAACTCAGTCATTTTTATGCAAAATATGTTCTTAAGATACATTGTTGTCGTTGGGATGCATGTCACTTCCAGCAGTTTGCAGATTAGAATGTTAATACACATTAGGTGAGAAATACCGGTACTGATCTCACTGACTGCTTTCCACTTGTATCTTAATAGATCTAAGGGTAGAAAACAATACCATGAAATTAAATCTCTTTAGTGAACAGTATGTATAGAGGGTCATGAAACATGTGCCAAGCTAGCCCAAGAAGTTTCGATGGCAAGGTAAAATAAACTAATTAGAGTATAACAGCTACAATTAAGTTACGTATACTTTATATTGAATATTTGTTGCATCCTGTAATTCATAATGCACTGTACCTTTGACATATTTTCGGCATGTTGGTCACAAAAGCGTAAAATGCTGAAATTCCAACATATCCAGTGACCGGGGTAAATATTATTCCGTGTACTCTATAGATGAGTAGTAAATGTCCTTATCTGACCATTACCTTCCTGTTTATGTCTGCAAAGCTCCCCTTGATAAGATTTTATCCGTGGAGTAAATTGAATTTGACTTTTCAAATTGTAGGCATGTGTGGGGAGGGGGGGGGGGGTTTAGTCTGGATCCGCACATGAGAGGGTTACATGTTTATCATGCTGTAAATTTTGAGCTTACTAGATTTACCTTCACATGTAGCTAGTAAATTCAGAATTTTTGCAAGTTAAGTGTATATAGTGGTTTGTCAAGCGGGAACGAGTTGTGTGTGTGCGGGTGTGTATGTGTGTGTGAAGTCTTATTCCGTCTGTTGATTTCTTTCATATAGGGCCTACAACATTTTTACATGATTGTCTTTAAAACAAAAACTTGCCAGAAAGATATTTGAATTAGATTTTTTCTTCATTTGAGATGAAAATTTTCATCGAATATACACGCACATGTATATATGTAGTTTCTTTTTCCAAATATAAAATCCACAAATCATCCCCTTAATTAAAACATGAAAAATGTGAATGAATTGTGCCTAATACTTATTAATAAGATCAGGACTGATAAGAATTTTAGGTGAATGTTTTGAAATGATGCAGTAAATTGACTTGAAAGAGCATTGCCAAGCATACTAATGTTTGTAAACAAAGCTTTGTATAGATTCAGAAGCTGTCATTTTGTTTCTCCATCGAATCGACTCAGATTATGATATGTACAGCTACATGGTCCGTTATAACCTTGTGTACGAGGGTTGTTCGGATAGTTCGTGGACTACTGTCATAACCTTTTTACTAAACGTTATATCGTATCCAAATTTGGTAGCAATGTTTCAACAATAAATTGAAATAAAAATGTATTAAGAAATTTTAAAATGTATTAAGAAATTTTAAAAGTTCTCTATTTATTTTAAATTTTAAAATGACGAAAATCGGATCGCGGAGTATGTCAAAATTTCGTTGTTTACAATTAATGCACTAAATAATGTCTGTAGTCATATCCACTGTAAAATTGTGCAAAAACGGAAAAATTCTAGATTTTTATATTTGGAATTACTACATCTTTTCATATTCTAAATTATGACTTAATATTATGATTCATTGAAAAGAAATCAACTTCAGAAGATAGGCAGTGCTCATTGAAAATGGCAAAAAGATGACGTCGTCACGGAGCACAAGCTCTGGATACGATTTTATGTTGTACTCTGGGAAAACTCCTGAAAAAACCCCAAAATGCTAGAGGATGCACGAAATATGTCCAATGAACGAGCCTTCCATGTGTGTGTACATTGCACAGACCATGTGTGCTTTGTATCATACGAGACGATCGTGAGATAACGGATTATCTGTAAAGAGGTGATCAAAAACTTTCAAAAACGTTAGTAAGGTCTTAAGTATGAGGCGCCGTTTTGGTATTTACTGCCAAAAAGTGATATCACCTATTCGAATAAGTGATATCACCTATTCGAATAGGTGATATCACCTATTCGAATAGGTGATATCACTCATTCAAATTGAATAGGTGATATCACCTATTCGAATAGGTGATATCACCTATTCAAATAGGTGATATCACTTATTCGAATAGGTGATATCACTTATTCGAATAGGTGATATCACCTATTCGAAATGAATAGGTGATATCACCTATTCGAATAGGTGATATCACCTATTCGTGCTGAATAGGTGATATCACCTATTCGAATAAGTGATATCACCTATTCGAATAAGTGATATCACCTATTCAATTTGAATGAGTGATATCACCTATTCGAATAGGTGATATCACCTATTCGCATTTCTTACGACAACAAATAATGAATGCTCCCTTCCTCAAGATTATCTAGATTTTCATTGGAACCGAGCAAATTCGGGCTGCGTTAGGGTCTGTAAGTCTCGTCACGTGACTCGCGAGATTTTTCGATAATATTAACTTCCAGGTACCTCACACATGGAGATGTGTATTGGGTTATGCATGTTTATGGTTTACACAAAGCGTATAAGGAAAGTTTAAGCAGTTGTACAAAGCCGAAGGGTTCTCCGACTTACGATGGATAAATTGAGGGTCGTAAAAGCTTGGGTGCGAGCAAGTAGGAGGAGAATTTCGATCGAAGTACAGGTAAACAAGTCAGAGAATGTCACCTGCATGCTTCTTGGGTATTCTTGGGTGAAATAGAAGTCTTATATTATACATTTGTATCTGATTAGAATAGTTTTGTTATCATCATTCCAACTAATTTATTAACAGATTTTTCTTGAATTCGAGGATAATGATGTTATTACCAGCTGATTAAGGAGGAGTAGTGTAAGTGTCAGATGGGTACGAACGTCATCTTGTGACAGCATCACCTTTGTTTGGGTAAATAATTTGTTCAGAATACGCTTCATTTATCAACAAAAATTTAGCTGTTGCATGTCAGTAGGTCTAGTTTTTTAAGTATTCAATGTTTGAAAGCACTTATCAGGTCCAGTACAATCTTTTGATTTAGCTATATATATAGCTTTATTAAGGTGTTCAGAATAGCTTAATTTAGCTATTTTATCACACTTTTTCTTAAATGTATACTTTTCTCAGCATGCACAAAAAGTCGCACCTTGGTGCAGTGATGATACTCAACCTTGAACTCATCTGAAATTGATGCATTTAAAACTCACTCATTAAAATCTCCTTGCATACATGTGATAATTTTTAGGTCCAAATACTGTACAGCAGTCCTCAAAATACAGGAATTTGGGTGAAAATACTGTACATTGTTCATCAAAAAACTATACAAAAAACTGTAAAAAATATTGACCAAAAATCAATGTAAGAGGTTCATTTTTTAAGCTCTTCTGAGCCAAAGGCCCAAAGAGCTAATGCTGTGGCCATTTGTGCGGTGTACGTAAACTTTTTAGAATATGGGCCATAACTCAAGAACCCTTTGGCCATTATTGTCAAATTTGTCACAGGGTTATAATCCTTGGGCCAAGGGCTTCTGTTTATACTAAAACTAGGGTTGTGACCCTTAAACAAGGGGAGATAATTAGGAAAATAGAAACAAAAGAGACTTTGTACTCAAAGTTCTAAAAGTTTTTGGGCTACATATGCAATTGATACAGTTACTTCTTCAATGAATTTATAAAGGAGGCCAATTGTGGTCAACAAGATAATTGATTAATTCAGTACATTCAATGAGAAGCAATCATACTTATCCATGCCTCAATGCACACAAGGTAGTGGACAGTTACTCAAATAATAGAATTAATCTTTTGCTTAAAAGTAATCAAAGTTGCAAAGTTGGAGCTATCTTTGCAGGTCCAGCACAATCTCTTGATTAAGCTATATAGCTTTATCTAGCTATATAGCTTGATAAAGCTATTGAGAATAGCTTTATTAAGCTATTTGGAATGTGAAATATTAAAATAAAATTATTAAAAATAAACACGAGAGAGTCGCATTATGAGTACTTATCAACAAGTTCATCCGTGCATAACAATTACTCACACACTAAAATTAAGGTATAAAAGCGATGCGTGTGGGGCGCTCATCTTATTGAAATTTTCAAGTGTATTGAACGAAGTATAAAAAAAATAAAGAAGTGTAAAAAAAGAAATTAATCGCATAATGGTAAGTATATATTTCTTTTCTCTATCACGTAACATATTATTAATCACCGAGAGTTAGAAGGTTCATCATTGCCTTCATCAAAATTTTGGACATTTAACAATGCATATTTTGTGCAAAAGCTTACGAAACTGTGTACAAAAGTACCAAATTATAGCTTTAAAATCCATGACAACACTCACAATTTGAAGTACATGTGACTTGGAAGCCCTAGTCGCCATACACAGGAAATGCACGATCAATACTAAAGCGTTGGTACTGAATCAGGCAGATCTTCATCTTCCGGGTCAGATTCTATGGAAGCACCGTAGTATTAAAATTAATGTCTTTGTAACCCATTATTTTTTTCAATTACTTTGTCTATTAAAGAAGACAAGGGATTGAATATTTATTATATTGAAGTAAGAAAATAAAATAATTATTCATATTCCAGGTGTTTCTGAAAAAAAAAATGATAATTTTACAATACCCCCCCCCCCTTTTTCGTATTTTTAATTTTATTTTATTAAAAATAAATTAAAAAATATAATATATGCGGTTATAATATCATGCAGAATAGTAAAGTAAATCCCGGGAAAAATAACAAAGGTCAAAGGAAGAGGGGCTTGTCAAGATCTGGACCTACGCCCAGTACATACATAGAGGATGCAAAAAAGCGACACGACTCCGTGTACAAGAGAAAAACCACAATCTTGAAAAAGGTATGAATATATAACGTACCTTCGTCCTTCATCACATCTTGCGAACTTTCTACAACTTCTAATAATTCTTTGTAGAAATTAATATACATTTTTTTGCCACCATTCTTTATGTCTCTTTTCCATTGTACTTTTCTGTCTTCTCCTTTTTTAACCAAAAAAAAAAAAAATGCAGCAAAACATGCCGATACGTATGATTATTTTAAAGATGTTGAAAATTTTAAATATGCATACCAGCTTCAAAATCCAAATCAAGTAGCTTCTCAATCTGTTCCTCAATCTTGGCTGCTATTTCTGGTTTTGTTCTACTTTCGATAGAATGAAAGTGTGTGCGTTCCAAACTTGTAAAAAAAATTGGTTCTAGAGAAAGTGAGAGTTTGACTGAATTATTTTTAGAAACTTCTTGAATATAATGTTGTCTATTGTTTTTACATTTCTGGGAAAAATTTACGAGTTCTTTATCTAGTGATTTGTTGCATAGAGAAGTATGATCGGTGGAGGAGAAGGGATTGGAGAGGTATTCTGCTGCTCTTAGTTCTGAACGCCACTGAAATATTTCATTTTCAAGATTGGTGTGGAAAATTGTATCATCACTGGAGTCCCTTATGTTCAATTGGGATTTCATGTTCTTTTTTATCTACAACACAATATATATATATATATATATATATATATATATATATATATATATATATATATATATATATATATATATATATATATATATATATATATAATTATTCAACAGGCTAAAGAACGCCATCTTACAAGTAAAAGTGAAATATTAATTATTGTGAAATCAGCATCTGGAAAAATGTCCACGTATGCCACACCTTATTTTGAAGATGTTAGTATATTAATCTCATTCAATAAGTTATTTATTTATTTAAAGAAGTGGTTGGATTAAAATTTTTTTATTACTTTTTTTTAATTTTAAAACACGCATTGATTATACATTTCAGCACATGCAGCGAATCATAAAATCTCCCCCCTCTAACGTTCCTAGCGCACCGCCCTCTGTTATAACAACTTCGATATCCTCTTCCTCTTCTATTACTACGAATTGCTCATCTTCTACCTCTGCTGAACTTATCTCAACCCCACACTGTTCTACCTCGTCAATACCTCCTATACTATCTTTAAATGCACTCTCCCCACAACCTTCTCTTGCCTCTCCCTCTCCTTCGTTTCCATCTCCTCAACCTACTTTTCTCCCCCCTATAACTAACTCTAAATCAGGAGAAAAGGAAAAGAGATCAGATGGATATCAGACTTCAAAGAAGAGAAGGATAGTTGTATGCAAGACCAAATGCACTCAGACTGAAACAATAACGACAAAAGTTCCTGAAACTTGCAATGTCTGTTTGACAACACAGGAACGTGGACATTGGGTTGGGTGTGACCGTGCCCGTTGTGGGTATTGGGTCCATGATGAATGCATGGGCTTTTATTTTTCTTCTAATACCATTGTAAAGAAAACAAAGTTTAGGTGTCCCATCCACAGATAAACAACTATGTTATGTCTGTAATAAAATTATCTTCCTACTATGTTTGATATCATTTCTTTTTATTTTATTCATTTTTATTTCACAAAATGTTTGTAAAATACTTGCATCTTCTAATGTATCCAGATTTCTGCAACATTGCATCCAGTGTTTCTCTTTTGGCGCACCGCTGGGAAGCCAACTTTTAGCCTGTCTATTTTTGGCCTCCAATATAAAATCACAGCCCTCTCCTTTGCTGGTATTTCCAGATTCTAAATATTTATTTTATGTACAGTTAAACATCGTTCTTTGAAACCCAATGATACAGAGAAAAATTCTATATATCCTATGATTCAAGATAACAAACTTAAAGAGATCAAATGGTTGTTAATTTTAGGTAAGTTTTACGTATCCATGGTATCTGAGATAAAGAAATTAAAGAGATAATTGAGATAACCATTGTTAACTGTATACATATAACAATACTATTAATTAACATGCATGTTTATCATTAAATATGGAGTTTCAATCAATAATTTAATTTTTGTAAACCCTAGTTCAAACAATATGCTGTTTCAAACTGTCCATAATATTTTCTCCATCTTGACGTCATGTTATTTGCACAGAAAAATTATGCATTGTGACGTCACGTTTTTTATCCAATCAAGTCATGTGTACGAAAATTTACAACCTCCTTCTAACTAATGAAATCTCCTGTTACAAGGTAGATAGAGTTATTGTTTATATTAAGTGCGTCATTTGGCATTTTTGTGCAGTTGAGTTAAGACCATGCAATTCTTACGAGTGAAGGACTCGTGCTCCTGGATGAATTTAAGGACTTCAGTTGGTGCACATACTCTCATAATGATGTCTAACAATTCAATCTGTTGATAGTTGGTTTTGGACACACCAAAGTAAAGGGGAGAAAACTTCAGTCTGGAGGCCATAATGACGTTACTGTTATTACGTCGTATCCCTGCTCTAAACAAGTACACTGCTAGTGCATACGTAAATATGGACTCCAGCAAGAACCTGCATTACAAGTACGTAAACTATGCATTATTATGAAATCCAATATTATATTTTTTTATGAAATCCAATATTTTCCTGTATATATATATATATATACAGGATTTGTTAAATTGTAATTTATCAAATAATTTTTTTTACATGTAGTTGGGATCCTTTACTTCCTTACACCAGGCGAAAAACCCTTTCCCAGAAGGTTCCATTTCCCTTTCGGAGCAATGATACACGTAGGGGTACAACAATTCATCTCCTATGAATAAGAAATGTCTAAATGTATAGATGTATTTGAGAAAAAATAAAAAATTATTTACATTTATGTTTACAGACCTGTTCCAAAAAGAAGAATTTCAATGAACTGCATGGCTTTGTGGTGATCATTGGCATCTAAGCAGGATTGGAGTGCCTTTGGCGATCTGTAGCCTAATAGTTTGGCCAAATCTACCCCTATGACTTGCCATAAAAGCTTTATAACAGCTGTAATATATATATATATATATATATATATATATATATATATATATATATATATATATATATATATATATATATATATATATATATATATATATATATATATATATATATATATAAATCGTTCAATTTTATTGCACCAACAATAAAGTACCTTTGGACATATTAATTTCAACATGTCCCAGTCCAGGTTGGAGGAGTATATCTTGAAGATGGGGGTTGTCTTTTATGATGCGATGAGACAGAAGGAAAGGAAGCCCATCACAACCTACTATACTCCATTTTCTATGATCTGGAATTCCTGCAGTACACTTCAAATTTTCTAAAACAACTTGAACAGATTTAAATGAACAAGGATTAACTGATATTGGATTTCCCATTTGAATTGTAGGAGAAGTAGTATGGGAATTTGATATAAAGGAATAAACATCAACCTGGGATCTGGAATTATCAGAAAATTTCTTCTTCTTGTTTTTTAAAAGATCGGAAACGATGTCCTCTGTAGAAGTTAGCCCTGGATGTTGCTGTTGTAATAGAACATTTATCCTGTTTTCGATGAAATGTTCTCGAAGTGATCTAAATAAATTTTCATAGAAATTGATGAATTCTACAATAGCACTGTATTTATCAGAAATTTGAATGTTATAAAACCAGTGTCTGGGAGAGAAATTATTGACAAGTTGTAAATCTGTCGTGGGATTAGGAAAGAAGTGGACAACAGTAGTGACATAGCTCAAAATAGCTTTGGCATCATAGCGCACCCTCCAGTTCCTCGCTAAAACTTGGTTGTTGTCGAAATATGTTATCACGTCATGCTGAAATGGAATGGTTATTGGAGTGGTTGCATGTTCTTCTATCCATTTCAGAACAGACGTGTAACTTCCGGCGGGATGAGCACTGGAGTACATATTACATACTGTTTTGCTATTTGACATGTAATATGTTAAGAGATTCAAACTAAATGAAAATGGCATGATTATGTTCGAAGAAACAAGGCAGTACAAATGTTCAATAGCAAACACAATCTTAGTTTTTTCTGTAGATGATAAATCACACATCTTTTTCCCACACAAAGACAATAAAAATGAAGATACGACATTGTTTCTTTCAGAAATCCACGTATCAATAGCGGCAGATGTTAAAAAATCAACATTTTTGTATTGGCTGAATATATTTTCATTAAAATCGTCTTTCATCTCTCTGCTTTCTCTAGTGCCAATGGCTTCCACAATTTTACTCACATTCTCATCAGATATGTTGTTTGTTTTAATTAAATTAACTATTTGCTCAACAAGTTCGTTTTCAATGTCTTTTCCATTGGAAATTAAGTTTTTCTCGCTGTATGCAGCACATGCTGTACATAAGTATACTGACCTTTTGCACAGATGACCATTTTCAATGAGACCTTCAACAACAGAAGTTTTGAATTTCTTGCTGGAAAGTCTGTATATTTTAAAAGTCTCATCTTTTGAAAAGTTAGTATGTTGTTTACAGCTACAAGCTGGCATTGTTATCCTGAAAATAATTAAATGTTGTCTACTAACACCCCACCCCCCACCCCCCTCAAATAAAATAATCATATAATATAAATTATGCATTTTCTGTCTTAAATATGCACTAAAATAATATATTATACGATTAATTTATTCCCTTTCTTAAATTGTAATCAAAATCTTCCCTTATTGATCACCGTTATAACTTTCATATCAACAATTCATTTATGTATTATTAATAAAAATGCGTTTCCATACTTTACAAGAAGATGACGGATAAATTACCGTTATTCGTGTTTCTTCTGCAACTACGTTGAAGACAGCATATCCGGTGTAGAGCGCCAGGAGAGAATTTAACTAACGAAGCTCCAGTGGGTTAGTTTTCATGATTTTTTTCACATAAACACTTAAATCATCGATTTCCCAACGTTTCATTGTCAACAACAAACTTTTCAATAAGGTGAGCGCCCCACACGCATCGCTTTTATACCTTAATTTTAGTGTGTGAGTAATTGTTATGCACGGATGAACTTGTTGATAAGTACTCATAATGCGACTCTCTCGTGTTTATTTTTAATAATTTTATTTTAATATTTCACATTCCAAATAGCTTAATAAAGCTATTCTCAATAGCTTTATCAAGCTATATAGCTAGATAAAGCTATATAGCTTAATCAAGAGATTGTGCTGGACCTGCTTTGATTTTGCTTGTTGTTTCGATAGCCCATAGCACATATATGAATAGTCAAATACATGCAACTTTTTGTCTATTTCTTACTAAAATAATTTTTGTGAAAAAACTGCATATAAATAGCTAAATCAAGCTATTTTGAATAGCTTAATAAAGCTAAATAGCTATTTCAAGCTATATAGCTAAATTAAGAGATTGTACTAGACCTGCTTATTTCCCAATCCCAACGATAAAACTTTCTTTATATATTCTGCAAATTCTCTCTGCATTTATCATTGAACAAATTCATATGACTGCAATTATATGACCATATTCTTCAGTTTAGAGAGCATGTTATAGAGGATATTTTGGTTAAAGTTTTGGTCTGTTTCATGCAGTGTTTGAAATATTCTTTCATCTTACACAATTGTATACATTAAGATTTATTTTATAGCTAAAATACAAGAGAACTGCAGCATCTAAGACTACATGTACATCGACTTTGAATAATTTACCCGGTATATCCTCAAAAAGGCAACTTAAATACAGGTATGAAATTGATGTCACAAAATAAGTTTTTGGACTTACATTTACTCTTATAATTCATATACATATAAAGCATATAAAAAATAAAAATAGAAAAGAATTAAAGGTTCATCAGATGACAGCTCAATCATGTATGGAATATTATTAGGCCAAATAAAAAAATATGTGTGGTTCCCATTACCTGACCGTCCCTATTTTAGATCCCCGACCCTAAACTTTTTTTCGGCAATATTCATATTTATTTTCCGGAATTTTCCGTGATTTCCGTCATCCACTTCGGTATTAGTTTTAGTTCCAGCAATGGCGGCCTCCAAGCAAAAATCGTTTCAACACGTAGTGCAAGTGTTTGATGGTGTTAAATCTAAAGCAAGCTAGCATGGCGTGGCAGTATACCTTTTTCCAGCACCATGTTTTTTTGTTTGTTTGTTTTTTGGTTGCCAAAATTAAATAAATATGCCCAAGAGTGGCGAGATTCAGTTAGTTGCTCTGTTTACAGCTGGTTTATAACAAGTGCATGCTGATTAGCCCCTTTATTATTTAATGCACGCAAAGGTGTGAAGTCAGGATAGGAAATCACTTCTCGCTTGAAAGCACACAGACAGCTGGCCAGGTAACGTTTTTTGGAGTTAGGGGGAAGATAACATGAGAAAACATTTATTTGATTGCATTGATTACGCAAGAATTAGCCCAATGTGTAAAATAGATTAACTTGTAAACTATTAAATAATTTATATCAGGATCATTTCTTTTAAACCGAAAGTAGAAAAAAAAACAGTTCATGAGGAAAAGTGAAAAAGAAGACTGCTGATTTTACATGAATAAAGTCAACTTGCAAAACACCAATATATATGAGAAATGAGCTTGGAAGTATGAAGTCTTCAATGAGGCAAAAAGGTTTCATGAAAGGATTTAAAATTTTAATAATATTAAATATTTGTAATTCTGACAAATTTGAATGATTCTATGTCATCTTGCTTAGGTGATTTATTTTGTTTTAAACATTACTGTACAAAGTGTAGGTGTCACATTCTTTTCCTCTGACAGCTCTTAGCAGAACTCTCATGTCCGTTTTCTAGTTTATAGTTCAGAATTTATTATTAAGTAAAATAAGAACTGTTCTGGATAAAAGTAATTAATTAATTTCATTTATAAACACTGATTTTAAAAAAAGGATGTTCACCTTGGACTTTATTTTTTACAAAAAGAAAAGATTGTGTTTTCATTATTTTTGATTTAAAAATATTTGTTTCATATTCATAACTAGGGTGCCCCCTGCCAATGTTGACTAGTATATTTAACGCCACATCGAAATGCCACTTATTTTCTCCTTCACTCTGTTCATCCACATATAAAACATTTCTTTTCTGAACCATAGTTGGAAAAGACTGAATTCAAAATAAACAAAACATTTATTAGTTATGAGTTGTATACTCAGCTCTTCACAAAATATTTGTTTTTTCGCATTCTATAATGTACAATTTTAGATTTTATATACCTGTATAAAGACTTCTGCAGCAGATTCCGATAGAGAAATCATGATCTATATTTAAGATTTAATGTATAATGCTTAAGATATCCATTAATTTTACTTATAATATACAATTCTGAAATTAATATCATCCTTTAAAAACAAGGATAGCACATATCATCTTCATAAACACTTAACATTCTTAAAAAAGAAAATATAATATCCAAATAACAGTTAAATAATTCAATTTGCTCATGCTGATTTTCTTCAAACATTGTATTTTCTAGATGAGTATGAACTCGAATGAATAGAATCAGCAAACAACTGTTTAAATACCCAAGACATTTTATTCACACATTAAAGCACATATCTAATCCATATGCTTAAGAGAAAACATATCTAACACTCTACACATAAAATAGTTCACTTATGCTAACGAAAAGAAATAGGTATTATTTAGAAAAATTTAGAAAATCATTTTGTACTAAAAAAAAAAAAAAATAATAAAAAATCCCTACCTACCCTATTTTTTTTGGAGGTGTAACCGGAACCACACATTTTTTTGTTTGGCCTTAATGCTGAGTTTCCAAATGCAAAATTAAGGGTATTCGATATATTCCATACAAGTTGTCAATCATTTATTAGTGATTTATACAGAGGTTCATTTGCATATAAATGTTGATAACATTGTTTTACTGTCTTTATTAACTTGTAATACTAAATTTCATAAATTGACAAATTCATTCTTTTTAGAAAATGCATATAATTTGGAAAAGAGACCATCAATCCACTGGGGGGTATCGCATGAAAGCAATGATTATAGAATATTGTAAGGCTGGAGGAGTTATAGTACAACAGGCAGGCGAGTAATGGTACTTTGTTCTGGAAATTTTTCGCCCCAGTTTTATTTTTCTCATTCTGCCCTCCTTACAAGTAGGTGAATTTAAAATGGGACAAATTCGAAGAAGGCAGCATATATCTTTTAAACACAAATGTGTCTGATCAAATTTGAAAAGGTCAAAATTGTTTTCAAGGGTGAAAGAGTGAATATTTTAAAAATTAGAATGGGGTAAAAATATCCAATAATACAGGTTATATATATTAACACAGTACATATGCATTTCTCTTTTCTTTATAATGAAAATAATTTGTTCTGTAAAAGGACAAATTTTGTTCTGATTTGTATCAAATAAATAAATATGTGCCAGATTTATTATTTTGCAGGCACCTAAGTTACCATCAGTTGTGTGTCAAGCTGTGCAAAAATTCTATGTCATGTTACAGAATCTTTCTTATATACAGGTATATGTCTGCGCATCTGGCAATCTTAGGACATCACTTGATGGTTTTGTTTAAAAAGATTACAGAGTTAACACGCACTTCCAGCATGAAGACCAGCCAGTTGCCTCACCTGTCCTGACATTGTTAAAGGTAAATGGTCCTTTCAGAAAAGGATCTGACAATGCAAAGGCTTGCTAATCAATTAAAGATTTCTATTTACTAATAGGTAATTAATTTGAATTTCTGTAGCTTAAAAATTTAATGATATGAATTAAAAAAAATATTTTAATCAAATTTATTTTTATTTCAGAACTTTGTGACAGTGAAAAGACGTGGCTTTAAATTACTGTATCAGAGATCAATCCAGGTTATAAATCTGAGGAAAACAATAAAGCATCCACTTCGAGCTACTTATATCACTGCCTTAATAAGATGTCTGCATGTGTAACTAACAAAGGACAGTGACCAGTTGTATAGCTATGATATCAGAGGGCATCCTGAAAAACACTCATCACTAAGAATAGAAAACTTCAAATGACTTTTGTATCAATCCTTTGGCTTGGAATTTCAGTAGCCTTTAGCATCTTTCAAGCATTTCATGAAGTACATGTACCAATTTGCAGGCATAAAATGTTTGAAATAAAAAAAAATAATTTCTCTGCCAGTTAACAGTGTCATAAGCAGTTGATTGATATCACAGTTCCACTGGCATAGTATTTGTGGTTGAATGGTGCCATTTTTAAGAAAACTTTTCACAAAAACCTGGAAAACATCAGATGGAAAGGAGCATCTACAAGAAAAACAGTTAACACTTTCTTGAATATTAACAATGATATATCATGCCCATTTACATCCTTTATATAAACTAATTAACCTAATCATAGAGAATTATGTACAAATTTGTCCTTTTGTGTATTTATAGTGTATTAAATTGATTTTACTAATTTATAAATATTTATGTTTTTCACAGTCATTAACATTTACAAATAGAAGTACACATAACATAAAAATATTACATGTTTAGTAGGATAACGTGAAATTGTTATACCACAAAAACCATCGCTGACCTCGCCTCGGTCAGCAATGGTTTTTAAGGGGTAAGAATTTTACATCACCCAAAATAAACAGGTAATATTTTTCTTGTCATAAAATGCATTTTAAAGAAAACATCAAGGTGAAACGAATGTGCAAACATTCTGCACAGTTAACATTTTTTATTACTGTATATACTGTTACCCGTAGTCATGCATTTTCAACCATTGGGATGTAATGTTTGGCATACAGTATGGTAATAGTACTTGTTAACAAATGTTTTTTAAACCAATCAAATTTGACTATTTAACATGAAAGTGTATCATAACAAATTTATCTAGCATAATGGTGCTGTAAGTAACCATGGAATGTGAGCTTGTGTGAACTTGATCCTGAATTATTAAGTTTTGATATTGTAAAAAAGAATTGTGCAGCCTAAACTTTAACTTGTACCTGATTTAAATGGAGTTCCGTCATTAATTAACAACTTGGAAGTTGGAAGTTGTCACACTCATCATGAGTATAATAACTGGGGGATCTGCTTCATTTGCAGATACATGGATAACACATTCACTCAAAGCACTGTCCCTTTTTCAGTACCTTGTGCAGCCCTGTAATATATAATGACAAATGGAGAAAATTGCCTATTTCAAGAAAAAAAGTCTGTCTCATAATTGTAGGAGTATTGGCAAAGGGGGGGGGGGGGGTCATGAAACTTGGCGGTTAATCCAGTTTGTATGTGTAAATGAAAAATGACTTCTTCTTTTTAGAATAAAAAATGATTATTTTTTGAGTGTTTCTGACCATTTTTATTTCCGAATAGACAGGGTAGCTTATAGCCTACAGAATGAGCTGACCATTTTTATTTATTGTTGTAATTAAAAAAAAAAAAAGAATGTGTTTTCTACAAAGATCATATGTTATAGACGTGGTATTCAACTTTGTATTCCCATGGTCGATGCATTTGGGTACATCTATTTTTTTTATTTGCTTTCAATGACATCGCATTCAATATCCCAAACTCATGTATACCTGTCCAATACTCCAAATTATACCACTGTAAGCTAAGTCAATGCTTTAAATTTATGAAACCAATCTGTAGATAAGCGTACCTTTTGAATACAGACGATTTTAGCATAAAAACGATTTAATTTTCCCTTTTTGCTTAAGTATGTTGGCTAATCTTGGCCCCCTCGGAGTAGCTTGTGTTTACGTT